ATATATATGTATATACCATGCATATACTTGATTTTAGGGATAATAAAAGCACAGAGCTTAAATTATTTCTTATATCATCCAGGAAATAAGAGGTAGAGCTAAATTTTAGAACATGGAGACTTGGTGTGCTATTCACTGGATAACAAAATTATTTGTAAAACAAAAACTCAGCTCATTATATATAAGTAATTTATTCTACAAAAATAAGGGAGTGGACCATTAGTTCTGCAGCTATGATGAGACAGGCTAAGTTCAGGTTGAGGATAGGGTGGTTAGAGTAGTTAGTGCATTAGTAGGCCATGGTCTATAAATGTTAGCAGCAAAGGGCAAGACATGGTTCAGGGAGCTTGATCATCATGGAGAAGTAAAAAGAAAGGAGTTGAGGATGTTCAGGGCAAGAAGCTAGAGAGAAGGTGCCTTATCTACCAGCTGGGCAACTTTGAAAGACTATGACTCCACTTCCTCAGCTGGAAATCTTTTTAATAATAGCTACTTCACTTAATGGTTACTAGATTCAATGATTTTACACATGAAGGGTGCTTACTGGAGTCTCTAACTTATTATAAAAAACACGTCAAAATATTCATTGTTATTATTGCTGATCGTATTCTTTAGGCAATTCAAGAGCCAAGTCTGGGGTTGTACACTGACCATCAGAAACCAGCAGGTCCTTTGAAGGACATGTGAGGAGAAGCATAGGCATGCCCCAAGAGAGAAAAGGCCACTCATAATAGAGGAAGCAAGGTGTGCTGACAAAGCAGTAACAAGAAGGAGAGCGAGGAACAGGTCACAGGGGCAGAGGCCCAATCAGTTCTGCCAGGTGGTAGCCATGTTCTGTGCTTCCGAATCTGCTCATTTTGAGTTAAGGCACCAGAAGGCACTCTCCAAATCACGGAGTAGGACAGTTCTAACAATACACCATGTCTGTAACAAGTCTCTCTTGTTTTGTAAACACTAATGTTTAAAATAAATCTTTGGATTTATAATAGCCTTATTGGTACCTACACAAAATATATACATACTCTATAAAAACTTTTGAGAGCAAGACCTTTCATATTAACAAAAATACAAAACTCTTTGAAGCCAAAGGCAGAAATAAAAAAGAAAAGTATAAACAGACTTGACTACATTAATATTAATCTTTTTCAAATATGGGAAAACATCATGAAAAATATAAAAGGCAAAGGACAAACTGGGGGAGGGCATTGTAATATAAAGGTTTAAAGGGTTAATATCATATGTAAAAAGACTTACAAAAAAAGATTTCTAAAATAAATAATCCAATAAAAAATGGATAAACTTCAAGGACAAAATTAATTTTTTTAAAAATTTGAATGGCTAAAAAGCATAGACAAAATTGTTCAACCTGAGCAATTGTCAAAGATCCATGAATATAAAGACTTTCAAATTATCAAAAGTATAGAAATATGCACGTGTATATAAAATCTAGTGTTGGACATGGGGAAAGGAACAGTAATACTTGCTACGAGAGTAAAATATTAAATAATATTCTGGAGCACAATTTGATAAAAACGTAACAAAGCTCTTAAAATATCTATAAAACTTCATCTATAATATATTAAACAATAAATAAGGATATTCAGGAAGATTTAAGTACAAAGGTAATCTCAGAATTTTTCACACTGGACAAATGTAAAGATGTAAATGCTTACTGAAAATGGATTAATTAACAAAATAGTATATATAGTCATTAGATTTGATCTTATAAGTATTTATTGACATATAAAGATATAAAAATATTTTCAAGTGAAGAAAAAAAATTGAAGACCCAAGAAAGTAGGACTTGTTTTTTATGGATAAATTCTTTGTAAATGAGTGCCTAGAAAAATCTGAAAGACATAATTTAGCATGAGATTATAGATTTTAAAGTTAACCTTTTTCTTAATTCACATTTTGTTCTCA